TCTATCTATCTTTCTCACTCTGTTCCTATCTATCTATCGAAATCTGTTCCTCTCTCTCTCTCTCTCTCTCTCTCTCTCTCTCTCTCTCTCTATGTGTCTGTCTATCTATCTATCTATCTATCTATCTCAGTCTGTTCCTTTCTATCTAAGTTTGTTCCAATCTATCCCAGTCTGTTCGTATCTATCTATCTATCTATCTATCTATCTATCTATCTATCTATCTATCTATCTATCTCAGCCTGTTCCTATCTATCTATCTATCTATCTCAATCTTTTCATATCTATCTATCTCAGTCTGTTCCTATCTATTGATGTATCTCACTATCTATCTCAGCCTATTCATATCTATCTCCCTCTCTTCCTATCTCTCTCTCTCTCTCTACATATCTATCTATCTATCTATCTATCTATCTATCTATCTATCTATCTATCTCAGTTTGTTCCTTTCTATCTATCTCAGTTTGTTTCAATCTATCCCAATCTGTTCCTATCTATCTATTGCAGTCTGTTCCTATCTATTTATCTTACTATCTATCTCAGCCTATTCATATCTATCCCACTCTGTTCGTATCTATCTATCTATCTATCTATCTATCTATCTATCTATCTATCTCAGTCTGTTTCTATCTCTCCATATTGGTTAGTTTCTATCTATCTATCTATCTATAGCCATATATAGATCTATCTATCTATGGCCATATATATATATATATATATATATATATATATATATATATATATATCCTTCCTGTCACCACAATCCATATAAACTAATGATGCTGCACTTATAAATCCTTTTTTTTTTACCCGTTGTGAAAGCGTCTTGTACCTAGACATGGAATGGAAGGGCTGTCAGTATTCTTCAAATCAGGATCTCTGAATTCGGGTATTGTGGGTCGGGGGCTTTGGCACAACAGAATCGAAAATCAGAGAGCGTAACAAGTGCCAGTGCAGTTCGGCCTCCCGCCCTTCGTCGACGTGGCGTGACGGCATTTTGATTGTGCAATCTGTTCCCGCCAAAACACCTTCTTGGAATTCCGCCGGGACCTACAGCTGGGACCACCTGGGGTGGATGGCTGCACCCTAAAATGTAAGAAGATAGCGTCCTCCCTTTTATATGTTTTTGTTCTTTGCTTTTAATGTCATCTCGTTTTCTTTCTTTTTTTAGTTCACTACTCTTTCTTTCTTTCATTACTCTTTCTTTCTCGTCATAACTCTTTCTTTTTTTCTTTTCTTTCTTAATACTTCACCAGTTCTTCTTTCTTTTATTTCATTCAATATTCATGTATCTTTCTTTCTTTCCTTTTTTGTTTCTTTCTTCGGACATTGCTTTCTTTCTTTTTTCCATCCCTTCTTTCTTTCTTTCTTTCTTTCTTTCTTCTATCCTTTTTGTCTTTCTTTCTTTCTTTCTTTCTTTCTTTCTTTCTACCACCCCTTTTTCTTTTTTTTCTTTCTTTCTTTCTTTCTTTCTTTCTTTCTTCATTCATTCATTCCTTTGTTACTCATTATTTCTTTCTTTCTTTCTTTCTTTCTTTCTTCCATCCTTTCTTTCTTTCTTTTTTCCATCCCTTCTTTCTTTCTTTCTTTCTTTCTTTCTTTCTTTCTTTCTTTCTTTCTTCTATACCTTCTTTCATTTATTCTTTCTTTCTTAATATTTCATCATTCATTATTTATTTATTTATTTGTCTATTCCATTACTTCATTCGTTCTTTCTTTCTTTTTCTTTCTTTCTTTCTTTTTCTTTCTTTCTTTCTTTTTTCTTTCTTTCTTTCTTAATACTTCACCACTCATTATTTCTTCCTTTCTTTCTTCCATCCCTTCTTTCTTTCTTTTTTTTTGCTTGCTTCCATCCCTTTTGCTTTCTTTTTTCATCTTTTCTTTCTTTCTTTCTTTCTTTCTTTCTTTCTTTCTTTCTTTCTTAATACTTCCCACCCATTATTTCTTTTTGTCTGTCTTTCTTTCTTTCTTACTTTTGTCAATATTTGTATTCTTATATTTACTTTATCTTTTTTTTATTTTTTCTCTTTTTTACTCCCATTCTATATCTATCTATCTATCTATCTATCTATCTATGTGTCTGTCTGTCTATCTATCTATCTATCTATCTTTCTATCTATCAGTCTGTCTGTCTATGTATCTATCTATCTATCTGTGTGTCTCTCTGTCTATGTATCTATCTATCTATCTGTGTGTGTGTCTGTCTGTCTATCTATCAGCCTGTTCATTATCATTCTATCTCCTCTCGCAGGAATATCTTTTGGTTTAATTCAGGAAATGATGTTGCAAAGAACTACTGAATGACATAAATGCCGTACTAAATGCCCACTAATTAATCGACACATGGAACGGCGTGATGACGTCAATTGAATAGGGTCGTCGAAATAAGGGCGGGGCAACGAAACGTGGCGATGGGTATGAGGTTTGGAACGAACGATTCTTACAGGAGATGGTCATCACTAGTTTTAGGGGAAACATATTTTTTATTACTATCTCATTTTCTTTTTAATTATATCGTTTCGAGAAACAAGAGGAAATCTTCCTTATTCGTTTGCTATTATGCTTACCGTGGCATCGAATCGAAATAATACTTATTGTTAATTGAATCTGATGTGATCATCTGTGCGAGTGACGCAGGAATTTTTTTCGGTATGAGCAATAATTAGCGACGCTAAATTTCATGTTTTCAGTTTGATGCCTGTCAGCTCCTTGCACCGGTAGAGAAGGGTACCTGACCCCAACCTTCTCTGCTCCATCTTCACGAGAGTCAGAGCTAACCAAAAACGGATGACCTAATTCACACTTTCTTTCAGCTGCCTAACTCACACTTTCCAGTCTTGATAGAGTAAAAATGACCAAAAAAGGAGTATTGTTGCCATATCTGGGCTGGAGCTGCGCAATCCCCACTTTCAAGCCTTGATAGAGTCCATCTGCCACGCTTTATCCTTACAAGAGTCAGATCAGACCAAAAATGGTGTATTCCTACTATAACTCTGGAGTTACACAATCCTCACTTTCCAGCCTTGATATAGTTCTTCACAAGAGTCAGATCAGACCAAAAATGGTGTAGAAGGTACGGTGGATCAATGGATAGCGGCTTGGATTGAGTAATCGGAGAGACAAGTTCGAATTCCAGTCAAATCCATTACATTCACTTACGTGCTAATACCCTTGGGAAAGGTGTGAATCCTCTTCTTCTCCCTCCAGATGTGGTTAAATAGCAGGACAGACTGAGTTCTATAGCCTTGGATGGCAACTGGTCTAGGAGAAGGAAAACTCGGAAATTCAAAATCTGCGGAGGGTCGTTTGGGGACCTTGTGGCACGTAGTGCACCAGGTCTCTGTATTCCGCACTTCAAAAAATGTGGATGGTCCTGCACAAAACCTTCACCACTATAATCAAATCTCATGTGCTATACATGCGGGTTAGGGACTGCTTGTGAATTCCAAATTCCCCAGAAACTCTAATATTGGAGCCGGCTCAACCCACCCCGGGTGAATGCCGTTACAAGAACAAGAAGAGAAGAAAAATGGTGCATTGCTTCCATATCTGGGCTGGAGGTGCACAATCCCCACTTTCAAGCCTTGATAGAGTCCATCTGCCACGCTTCATCCTTACAAGAGTCAGATCAGACCAAAAATTGTGTATTCCTACTATATCTCGCCTGGAGCTACACAATCCTCATTTTCCAGACTCGGCCTAGTTCACAAGCGCTTACACGACCTTGTAGGTGATGAATTATTTTCTACCTTGCAACTCCTTTACATAGAAAGCCTTTCGCTACTCTATCGCTATTGCCATGGAAAATGTTCTGACAATTTAGATTCCTTAGTTTCCTCAATACAAACCTTTATCGCCAAGACCTGCTTATCACATGTAGACAGGATTTATTAATTTTTTTACAGTTTATCAATCCTCTGCAGGTTATTTAAAGCCAGAAAATATTTTTTAGATTGTAATATTTTTTTTATGTAATAATGGTTTAGTGTTACTATTTAACCCATAGCTGGGGAGAGAAGATGTAGATTCAACCCTTTCTCAAAGTTATTTGCGCAGAAGTGAATATAACGAACGCAACTATAACTGGAACCCGGCTCTCTGATTAACAATTCCGAGCCATTATCCATTACACCACCTGCAAAACCAGGCTTACAGCACCTGGTATTGCCAAGCGGTCACCCATTTAGGTACTGACCAGGTTCTACATTGCTTAACTTCAGTGATATGGAACGAACTCCTAAGTGGATATCTCCCTGACAACTAAAACCTTAATCGCTTCAAGTTTAGAATAACCCGTTATCTATCCTATATATCCTCATAATCTGAACTTATCCCTCCCCTTATTTGTCCTGGGTATGACGACAAACTACATCCAGCAGCAATCGAGAAATTAAAAGCTTTGAGGAGCGTGGAAGAACCTCTTAATTGCTGCCGTTCCCAGGTCCATCCTGACCAGGAATGATACCCCCATGTGCAAATTAATTGAGACAACCGCTTTATTTACCTTTCTTTCACCATACGGTCAGTTTTCAACCCTCTGGAGTGACAGGGTGTAATCGATTTTTATTTTTCTTCAGATTAGGTCATTTGCAGTGGTGTGTAGTAATATGAATCTATATTCCGGGTGTATGATGAAATTTGTTCGCCCTTGAAGAATATTGCGTCAACCGCTATTGCATCAGATTTTCATCACGCCCAAACACTATAGTCTCGACTGTCGATTAGTTATCCTATGGCTATTGTCTGCGATAGCCATTACTCCAAGGAAGCGTACGAAAATTGTAACGCTGCACGAACACACTAGCAAGCCTTACCAGTGAGCAAATCAAAGTACTATAGACTGGCCCGGCAGGGTTAGGAGTTAGGATTTAAATCCATTCGAGAATCTGTGGTCAAACTGCAAGGAACGATTTCATGGAATGGACATAAGAAGTACTAACACTACGGTCATGTTTTATTGGAAAAATAGTAAATAATAACGGAATTATTCGTTTTGTTACAATTTATTTGCACAAGGGGATAGATAGATAGATAGATAGATAGATAGATAGATAGATATGTACAGGCTGTAATAGATAGACAGACAAAGATATATGGATATGAACAAGCTGAGATAGATAGATAGATAGATAGATAGATAGATAGATAGATAGATAGATAGATAGATAGATAGATAGATGCTGAGGTACATCGGTAGGTAGGTAGGTAGGTATGTATTAGCAGACTGTGATAATTAGCTATTACATATATGTGAAGAGGCTGGGATAGATAGATAGATAGATAGATAGATAGATAGATAGATAGATAGATAGATAGATAGATAGATAATGGTGGTAGCATCTGTTAGGGTCCCATCTATGGATAAATAGTGAACCCCCAAGCAAAAATCACTAATACATTTTTATAGCAAATTGACAATCTATACAAAATTAATATAATATAAAAATACATTTTCATAGTAAAATTACCAACAATACATTTTATGATCTACAAAATATATATCTAAAAAATATACCTTTACTCTGAAAGCAAAAAATTATGAACAAAATATCTGTAGTTGAAAGTATAAAATTACAATATTTAGATGTCGGCATTAAATAACCCATAGAGGTGTTGATATGCTGCTAAACAAAATCTACAAAATAACGAATAAACAATTCTTTCATGACATTAATCCATATAATATACTACAATTTCTTCAAACTGTATTTTAAAATATAACTTCAACAAAACTACAACATAAAACACCCATATCACTGCCTCTAGGAATTATGTTCACACAAACATGTATATGCACAAAAGCAGAGTATCATCTACCATGTATTCAATTGTGAAAGCAGAATAACATATATCATATT